CCTTTACCTTTACCTTATTTAAACTTTAATAATAATAAGTGTACAAATACTAAAAGAATCAATTCATACAATGCCAAAAAATGTAAGCAACCAAAGAAAAAAACACATTGAATAGAGTAAGGAACAATAATCTCTTTAAAAACCCCACTCGGACAGCTAGCCATTAAGGAAAACTTGCCTGAAGAGAAAGGTCTTTGCCTGCTTGTGCAGGGACAGCAAAGATGGGGCCCTTCTGCTCGCTGGTCACTGACAAACTCATATTTCACATCCCTGCCTAACATGTCTTTAATGGTGACTGAGCTGTCCTACAAGTCTTAAACCCAAGCGGACTAAAACAGAAGAAAGCTGTCTTTCATATAGCCTTATCCAGTGGTGGGATTCAAATAAATTAACAACAGGTTCTATGTCCTAATGACCATTTTAACTATACCAAAAGATATACCGAAATGTTGTTTAATAATTCACGCAATACTGCAATAAGAACAGTAAAAGAGGTACAGACAACTAGATTATGTTTAAAGGAAGATTTTTAATATTAAATACTTGAAAAACAGTTATTGAAGATATTTCCATATTTGAAGAAAGAAAGGGGGGCTGGCAACATTAATCTAAATGAAGTTTCTGAACAATTTTCAAAGCCAGTTGCATATAGTACCCACTACAGTATTTGTGTATCACCATGGTAACACCTGATGTCCCCAAGAACAAGCACACTAGTTTTAACTGTGCAACACACTCCTAGGTAAAGGTAAAGGTTCCCCTTGACAATTTTATCCAGTTGTGTCCGACTCTAGGTGGCGGTGCTCACTCCTAGCAGTGGCCAATACTTGGGTCTCCTGATTCTAGACTGAATTCAGGTTTACATATAACTTTGACCTCAGTCAGAAGTAACCGGTGTTGTCAAGGAGCAGTCAAGTAAAAATTATGTTATCTGGTGTCCATTCAGCAGTACCCGGATTTTAGGTACCCACTTGTGCTGAGTGTGTTTTCATACAGTTAGAAATACAATATATCATAGATGGACTTTCTTCTGATCTGTAAGTCAAGCAAACAAGCAGCTTAGAGAAGTGAGGTTTTATTTAGGAACACACAACTAACATAGTATTTGACGATAAATTATAAGTGCTTGGAAATTTGAAATGCAATGCCCACAAAATTGCTAGTACCTGTACAGATTTCTCTATGCTAGAAGAATACTAATCAATTATTAGAATTCATTTTAGTCATATACAGTTCAATAATGAACTTGTAGTTCAGGAACAAGTGGTTATACTACAGTCTGTTTCCTTTTAAAGTACATCGTTTTGCCTTTTCAGCCAGGTAGATTAGCTGACACTTACAATTTAATAATAGACCACGGCTGCCAATTTCTTTATGGCTATTTCTATTTCTATAATGTGAAATTTTCCATTTCAACAAGTCGGGGAACAAGCTGTATGGCTGTCACATTGTGACACAATAAGTTTGCCTTACTGACATGATCCACTCCTACAAGCAACATGAAAAGACTGTTCATGAAGTAAACTCCTGTGTAAATTGGCATATTCTGAGCAAGAATACAAGTTGTCTAACTTTGACTTCAAGCTAAAGAAAATGGTTTTGTCAAGTAATTGTTACTAGTTAGGAAGGCATTTGCTGCTTTGCACCAAGTTAGAACAGCAAATGCCTACACTGACATCTGAACCTGCAACAATTTGTCACTGAGATTTATACCAATACTGTTACACTGGTGGACATAACTAATAGGATTTTGGCCACTGAATCATTAATAAGTCACCTCTTTTTCTAGTTGCCCACCTGCTTTTCTTTCCTTCCCCTTCTCTCTGCCGTCATTGCCACCTCCTTTAACACAGCAAGTCCAAATGAAATGACAGTAGGGAATTTAACAATTTTTAACTCTGCATTCTTTCTCTTCTGCACGTTTTTAGGCATATAGCATTTCCACTAATTCTTCTATGCCTTGTTTTTCTACTAATCAAATACTAGACTTATTCCCCCATCCCATCTTCTCAGTTTCTTATCCACAGTCTTAGAAGCCTTCAATTAGACTACTGCATTACTTATTCACTGACTCAGCCTTCACTTCATGTCAGTGACTGGAGAGAGATGGTGTTTCTGGCAGAAGCTCTTCAGCAAATGAGGAAGTTAAATGCCAAAGCAACGGAAAGTTTGTTAGCAAACTTCCAAGTTTATAGCAAAGATTTATGAAGCAGAACCATATACTTCAGCTAAAGAAATAAAATAAGATCTGTTTGATAGATCTTTGGCTTTAGATTTGGAAGACTGTTCATATCTGCTCTTCAGATTAATCAATTTCTTATCTGTAAAATGGAAAAAAAATATGCTGGTCTGTGATTATTTCTTTCCATCAGTTAGTATCATCTTTAAAATAGTGATAAGAACATTACCGACTTGCAATGCATGTAATAGTTCTGACATGCTTAAGGGCTTGTATATATTTTGATAGTACTACTGAACATTCAGAAATCATCATTTGAACTGTCTTTAATTCCAAGAGTCTGCTAATAATTAATAATTGTGTGCCCTCAAATTAATCCTGACTTTATGACAATCCTCTTCGGAGTTTTCGAGATAGAGAGTACTCAGACGTGATTTACCATTGCCTTCTTCTGGGGGAATCCTGGGACTGTGTAAATTGCCCAAGGCCATACAGGCTGGCTCTGCGATGCACATCAGGAAACTGAACACTCAACCTCTCAGTCCACAGTCAGATATCTAACTTAGAGCAAGGTTACGCTACGAAAATAAATCGATAGCTGGATCAGGAATTTTCAAATTGCATTAAAGTCACGTTGTAATCGCATATTATTTGAATCAGTGTATGTGTCTTCTTGGGAAAGCTTTTAATTCAATTTTAAGCTGTGCTGTGTATTAGTTGAGGGAGCTACATGCACTTTTAAAATCATTTGAAACTTTGTCCTGTGCCCTTGCTGACCACTCTTCCTGCTGTTGTGGTGAGGAAGGATACCTTTAAGTGGGATCTGAAGGCCTTAGGAATGGATCTCAACAAATGGGAAACCCTAACATCTGAGCATTCAGCCTGGAGACATGCAGTGCAGCATGGCCTCTCCCAATTTGAAGAGACCCTTGTCCAGCAGGCCGAGGCAAAGAGGCAATTCCAAAACCAGCAAAATGAGAGAGTTGAACAGGGGACAGATTGTATTTGTCTCCAGTGTGGAAGGGATTGTTACTCTCAAATTGGCATTCTCAGCCACACTAGATGCTGTTCCAAGTCCTCTATTCAGAGCACATTACCATAATCTCTGGAGACTGAAGGATGCCTAACCTAAGGTGAGGAAGAGCGGCAAGGAAGGAGGGTCTGCTGGGAAAGTTGTTTGTCCTTTTAGTAAGCTTGACAGCCTCTGTTCCTTTGAGAATGCTCCAGCTGTTCCCTAGGAGGCAGAGATCATAAGTCCCATTTATACCCACAAACTACACCACATAAACCATGGGAACATGGCTTTGCAGTGGTGCAAAAACACTGATCCAAGCATGGATCCTCGTGGATCCACATGATTTTTATGCAGAATCATGCCCAATCCATTTTCCAATCTGTGAGAAGAGATGGTACCTGTGATTTGAAAGTGGAGAAGATCTTACATAAAAGTCATATAGCTCCATAAGGATCTGTGCCTCAGATCCTTTTTTTTTTTTTGCCTCAATACAAAGACAGCTCTTCGCTCCCCACTTAGGCTACACATCTCACCCGCCTCTTGCCACCAACTCTGCATCTCAGACTGTCCCATTTGCGTCCCTCAAGATTGGACTGCAGTCCTACATATACACAGGGAGGCCTAATGGAGAAGGAAAGGGGACCACTAAGTGATGGGAGTAGCAAATCCCCCAGACAAAATTTACATCGATAGAAGTGATCTCATTCACATATACGAGCAAAGTAAATTGATATTTACAAGCAATACATTGATATTTACAAGCAAAATAAATTAAACAACCCTCTTCCTGGACTGTAAAATACCTTGCTTTCTGACAAAAAAAAAAGCATGCTTCCTGGGAGTAATAATCCTGAGCTTCCTTGGGCATTATGTAGTCACCTTTAAAAAAAATATATTCAAAACCTGCTAAACTCCATTCAAATCCAGTTTTTGTGGGTGACGGACAGATCAGAAACCACACCTGTCCATCACAATGAGTTAGTAACCAATGGTTGAGCAGGAAGGCGGAACCAAGGAAATAAAATAAGAGAATGGAGAACAGTTAAAGTTCAGTTAGAGTTGAGGTTTCAGTTAGTGATGAGCTGGGTTTTAGTTAGCCAGGAGTTAGGGAAAGAGTTAGGTAGTTGGAAGAACTGGTATGAAGAGTTAGAACTAAAAGATTTTAGAGAGAGAGAGATAGACAGTGATTATTAAAGTCAAAAAGTAACACTTTGAAAAAAAATATAAGAGAACTAAATGCAATGAAAACTAGAAGAAATAAATAAACTGTTACAAAGTGATTGAAACTAAATACCAATTAACCAGCATATTTCTAAGTTAAATACAATACCATCTATGATTTACTTGGTTTTTAAATATGTTAATCTGTTAATAAACATCGTTATAGGTGACACGATTGAGTCTGTGGTCCTAATTGGTAACTGAGGAAGGATTTCTTCTGGTAGCAGCAGAAGTGGAGACAAGAGAAATTGTTATACCCTAAGGTAAATCTGTTTTATTAGGGAGAACATACAGAGGAGCTGGTTTGTGTGACACTGTGATAATGGGACTAAGCTCTCACTGAGCTGTCAAGCCAGCTAAAAGTCTAACAGGTGGAGCTTCAAACATTGAACTGGAAAGCAGTAGGCACCAAAATGCTTGGTTAGAATCTACACAGTTTGCAAATGTCAGTGAACTAGAAAAGAAATAATTTGGTCTTTTGCATTATTATATATCCCATATTACATGAAACACAATTAAAACTGTTAATAACCATTTGTTGATCCATTATACTGACTAAAAACCCTCTTCAGCAGTGTTACTTACTTTAGCTTCAGAAGTTGGTTCCAAAAAGCACAGGCGATTCCCAAGTCCCTCAGCTGCCAGGCAGAACTTTCGCTGTTCTTTGTGAATGCTGGCAACACACTGAAGCACTACTTCATCATCCTGTCAAGAAAAATTTTAGAAGTGAAAAAAATATGTAAAATACCTATACAATTTGGCTTAATGATTGATTTGCTACATTTCAACATGCCCCGAAACAGTATGTTTCTTTAAAAATGGCAATGTGCATACATTTTATGCAGAAAGAATCAGAAGACAAGAACTTAAGTTTTGTATTTCCCTCTATTATATATAAAGAAACCTGAGATTGTCAGTTGGTGCATATATAATGTTAAACTGTGGTTTTGCACTTTATGAGTGGAGCTTGTACTCGCATACAACATTCTTGTCCATTACACACTTCCTCTTTGGTAGCAAAATGTAATTCTCTACTGCCTCAAAATCAGCCACTTACAGTTTGCGCTTAGCTGATTAGACTGTAGTTTGCATTTCTAGTGTCAAGGGGAAACACAAACTACAGTTTGCTGATTTGAATGCAATGCAAATTATGATTTGCTGACAAAAGGAGATTTGAATTAAAGATGTAAGAAGAGGGGAAGAAGCCTGGGAAGGGAAAGGACAAAGAACATGAGCACAAGGTTTATTCACAAAATGCTAAAAGGAGGTATTTGTGTATTCCATTATCTTTCAGTTTTTATCATGCTATGAGGAGAGGAAAGTCATTATGAACTGGTTTTGTGCATGTTCTGAAACAGTAGATTGCTGCTAAACATGAGTCACTAATGTAATGAATTGCAAAAAAAATAATAATAATGCAAGTCTAGGTCACCTCAAGATAAATACTATGACCAAATCAAGGAAAACAATGGTCTTTCATCATGCTTTTGGGGGAAGGTTATGAATGGGAGGTAACTATACGTTGTAACAGAAGCAATAGGGAGAAACAGCTGACAATATCATTTATGCCGTGTCTTATTCTTGTGCCTGTTGGACAGTGAGCATGTTCGGTAACATCTGGCTGGAAGATGAGAGGCAGGAAATAAGATTAAGATCATTATACAAAGCACTCAATGCGTAGATTTCAGCCACCTGTATTAGTCTTTGTTGAGACATAAGAGGCTTCAATCTAATTGATTCTTTCCCAAGTTATTAGGCAGAGAAAGATGCTTACTATCCACTGTGATCTAATGCTATCTTTTTCTTTTTCATTTGAGATGCGTGAGGGGAGGAAAGTCATTTTGAACTGGTTTTGTGCATGTTCTGAAATAGTAGATTGCTTGCTAAACATGAGTCACCAGTCACTAATGTAATGAATTGCAAAAAAAATAATAATAATGCAAGTCTAGGTCACCTCAAGATAAATACTATGACCAAATCAAGGAAAACAATGGTCTTTCATCATGCTTTTGGGGGAAGGTTATGAATGGGAGGTAACTGTAGGTTGTAACAGAAGCAATAGGGAGAAACAGCTGACAATAGAATTTATGTCGTGTCTTATTCTTGTGCCTGTTGGACAGTGAGCATGTTCGGTAACATCTGGCTGGAAGATGAGAGGCAGGAAATAAGATTAAGATCATTATACAAAGCACTCAATGCGTAGATTTCAGCCACCTGTATTAGTCTTTGTTGAGACATAAGAGGCTTCAATCTAATTGATTCTTTCCCAAGTTATTAGGCAGAGAAAGATGCTTACTATCCACTGTGATCTAATGCTATCTTTTTCTTTTTCATTTGAGATGGTAGGGACTAGGCTTTAAGAAGAAACTGTCTGCATACTTTGGAGTTCTCGGTATTCTGTGCAATAGATTTCAGAGTGTAATATCTATTAAGCAAAAAATGCAGATCCCTACATCCACGTTTACCTTAACCAAAGTTCAAGACACTGAAAAAAATCTAAGTATTCCCATATCAATTAAAATGACATGTTTAAACTTTAAGCAATTGTAATTTGTCTTGCAGGGAAAGTAGAAAATTTGAAATGCTAAGAACTGATGAGAAGGTGGAGGGTTTTTTAGAGGAGCAGGTGAAGTATGGACCCCGGGCATGTGCAAACCCCAACTCCATCCATTAGAGATGGCGGATAACATTCTCCCAAGCCTCTTGGAAAATGTTAGGATTGGACTACAGTGTGAATGATCAATTTTAAGTGATGTACATTAACAGAGCTTAGATGGGAATGCTTATTCTCCAGTCATGGAAACAGTGAAACACAAGAGCAGTGACTCTCTTTGGCTCAAGCACAGAAACAGGATATTATCTTGTTACTGGAAACAAGCAATACAAGATATACCCTAAGCTGTTGTATCCACAGGGAGATGGTGAATAGCCCTAATAGATTCAATTTTCTTCTAGATAATAGTTTTAATCAAATCAAATATTTCTGTTTGACTTGAAAGCATTAATCATCATACTTTCATTTATTATTAATCTATCCCCACAAGATAAAAATCACCATTACAATCACTTGACATGGAATATTTGTACTCAAGGTCCTATTTGTATTTTTAAGACAAATCAAGCTAAAAAACTGTAACACATGTCTGTTAATGTGCACTGCAATCCTATACACGTTTACTCAGAAATCATTTAAAATCTACCAAGTTAAATGACATTCCCAGATAAGCATTCCTTGGTTTTCATCACCTTCCATGGCTAATTATGACTAGTTGATGAGGTGTCAGAGTGTGCCTTGATCTCATGCCTGGTCACATAGCACAACCAAACAAATGGCCCACTTAGCTGCAGCAAGTTGCACAAACCTTACAGAAATACCAATGGGGTTCTAGTCAGTGTTCTTGCAATGACTGCAATTCTGTTGTTTGTGCACTTTTCCATAATCCTGATAGAAGCTACAACTAATGTCCCCAAGATGCTATTTTAAAATATATAAAATTGAATGTTTCAAATATTTCAACAGTTATTTTCTGTTTGAAATATTCTAAAAAGGTATCTTCTTATTCTTGTTGTTACATAATTATGTCATGTTCTCTCTCTATTGTGCAGTAGACTTTTGTTCAAAACACATTTGTGAATTCAAAGCTGATGGTGATGATAAAGGAGACACGTAACACGCTAACCAGAACGTTCTCTTTGACAAGTCTTAATAGTATTACACCTTCTGAAGCGAATAATCCATGAAGATCATGCACTAACCATTTGTCTGCATTGCTGATTGACGGTGGTGGCGGAAAAAGCTGCAGACTATCTCAGAATTAGAGAACGTATGAGACCTTTTAGATATAATAAGTGAAAAAGGTGAAAACACCTTTCTATATTATAAAATCTGTGGAAACTTCTGAATAGCAAATGAATTCTCACTCCAGCATGAATGAAGATTTGGATATGTTCCTTTAATTTTATAAACAGAATAATCTAATTTTGAATCTTTCACACCAGTAGAATAGGCAAACATTGTGCTATGGTTGAGATTAAAACCAGTTATATTTGGTACATAGCTTGAATGGCTGAGATATACAAACAAGTAGAGATGTCTGCAGTAAGCTAAGTGCTAATCAAATGCAAGCTGTGCTATTCACAGAATGCAAGAGGCCCTATGGTTCAGTACTGCACATGGGGGTGGGGTGCCCTCTCTGTTGTGGACCATGATCAGCCTTTTGAATGGTTGAATAATATGTGCCCTACAAATACAGATGCATGGAGACTTTGGAGCAGGATGAAGCTCTTCTGGTGTCAGTGAGATCAGAAATGTGACTAGAACAGGACAAGATGTGACTAGAACAGGTCAGTCTATTTTTGATCTGTGTCAGTTTTGCAAGAGTTCGTTTGTAAACCCATTCTGTCTCGTTTCTGCATTAAGAATTATCTAAGCACAGTTTGCAATTTTAGAAAATCTTCATGAAAATGTGCATTTAGTAAATATTTAAAGACTTTTTTCTTCACAAAATACACATTTCTAAATATATTTTCTCCCAAAGAGCATATTTCTAAATGTACTTTATCTTAAAACACACATTTTATATGTATTCTGAAACTTTCCTTAAAGCTAAGAATTTTAGCAAAACATTCAGAGAAACCTAGAGGACTGATGCTTTTTGTTACACATATTAGTCGGGGAAGTGTAGATCAGACCAGTTAACTGAAATATGTGGATGAAAGAAAATCTATTCCATCACTGTGGTAATGGTTTATAAAATATGCATAGTGTGGATAGAGCGATAGAAAGCAGATAGATTCCTTCCCCCTCCTATAGTATTAAAGGTCAGGTTTGCCAAATGAGATCAACTATCAGCACGTTCAAAAGAAAACAAGTATTTCTGGGCATAATTCATTTATGGAAGTCACTGCTGCAACATGTGGTGTTGGCCTATGAATTAGCTTACATGGGCATAAATGGGGAATAGACGAGTTAAAGGAGTCTAATTAACGGACCCCTTCACAGATTGCTACCTTGTCATGGCGAAGGGGCTTGAGTAATTCAGAGAAGCTATGGGCTATTCTGTGCAGGGACACCCAAGATGGACAGGTCATAGTGGAGAGTTCTGATGAAACACGATCTACCTGGAGCAGGAACTGGCAAACCACTCCAGTATCTTTGCCAAGAAAACTCCATGAACAGAAACAAAAATCCAAAAGATATGACACTAAGAGATGAGCCCCTCAGGTTGGAAGGCATCCCACATGCTACTAAGAAAGAGGGGAGGACAAGTACAAGTAGCTCCAGAGCTAATGAAGTGCTTAGGCCAAAGCCAAAAGGACACTCAACTGTGGATGCGCCTGGACGTGAAAGGAAAGTCAAATGCTGCAAAGAAAAATACTGCATAGGAACCTGGAATGTAAGATCTAGGAACTTTGGTAAGCTGTATGTGGTCAAACGGGAGATGGCAAGAATAAACATTGACATCCTGGGCGTCAGTGAACTAAAATGGACAGGAATGGGCGAATTCAATTCAGATGATTATCATATCTACTATTGTGGGCAAGAATCCCGTAGAAGAAATGGAGTAGCCCTCATAGTCAAAAAAACAGTGGGAAAAGCTATACTGGGATACAATCTAAAAAATGATAGAATGATTTCGATACAAATCCAAGGTAGACCTTTCAACATCAAAGTAATCCAAGTTTATGCACTAATCACTGATGCT